AAAAAAAAAAAAAAAAAAAAAAATCAAATTGATAAGAGGTCAGCAGTGCAAATGCACTGCTGTTACCTTGCACTGCCTTAACAGGTTTGTTGACCTTAAGGGAGTGTGAGGTGCCTCTTTTCTACCTGTTATGTCTCCTAGTAAATGGGAGTGCATCACAGGTAGGTCACTGACCTGTGAACGTGTCTCTTCTGGCATGCGTAGTTATCAAATTGCTTCATTTGCTGTCAGGTCATTGACCTACTTCTTGCATCTGACAGGCATAGTTCTCTAAATTTTACTTAAATTGAAACAAGTCACTGACCTAGGGTTCATTGACTTGTGTTGCACCTACGGAATGGGATCCAATGTTAGATTCTATTTTTACTGCATCTTGTGGAGATCAAGGTCAGGTTCATGCCCCCTCTCAGCCCCACCGCTACACACACACACTCACTCACATGCACAAACACTTGCTCACTTCCCTCCAAACCGGCGCGCGCATACACACACACTCACACCTTATACAAAGACTCTGCAGAAGCAATGTAATAAACATAGATATCTGGTAACTTTTTAATTGCAAATTTCTGGGGTCGTCGGTGTGTTGTGTAAATTAGAGGTAGCAAACAATACCCAATATAATCATCCCTTTAATTTGATTAATATCATTGAAACACCCGTTTCTAAAACAAATACCTTCTTTACCAGAACAGATAGGGGCCGTGTCACTTTTTATAAATATCTAGCACCAGTAGCTTCTCACAGAATCCTCCTCCTCTTACTCTTTCTTGAGGAAGGGCCGGAAAGGGGGGGGGGGGCATTGGTTTCATAGCAGTTATCAAAGTAATCAAAATTTGAAATGATTTGAGGGCTTCTATTTTATGGGCAAAATCTCTTCTCTAAAAAACACACAACTTCTCTCCATGAAATCCTCTGTAATGAATTCTTTTAAGTTCTTCCTGATGCAATCTTATTCCTACTTTTCTTACTACAAGATTATTGTATTTCTTCACTTAATTAAAGTTTTCAGTTTAAGTGCTAGAAAGGAAAGGAAGTAAACAATGAAAAGAAAACAACTAATATTTACTGAAATATTTATTTGTCTTTGTAGGATTGTCGGCAGCCATTCCATGGAGGTTCATTCTTTGACCATGAGGGCCTTCCCTACTGTGAAACACACTACCATGCCAAGCGAGGATCCTTATGTGCCGGATGTCACAAGCCTATAACAGGTACATTTTCTGAGCTTGAAATTTACTTCACTTGTCTACAATCAATGTTGTCATTTATGTACGTATTGCTTTCTAACTTTGTGTTTTTCCTCTCTTTCTATTTTTAGGGCGATGCATCACCGCTATGTTCCGGAAATTCCATCCCGAACACTTTGTTTGTGCATTCTGCTTAAAACAACTTAATAAGGGAACTTTCAAAGAACAAAATGATAAACCATATTGCCATGGCTGCTTTGAAAAACTGTTTGGATAATCTGTTGAACTTAGTGAACTGTATGTGCCTTCATTCCTGCCAGAAATTCATTGGCAAAATGCTGATTTTGCACACCATTGTAACCTCTGTGAGGTGTTAAAAATAAAATATCTGTGGTGCTTTATAAAATGAAATGACAGTACATGCACAGCTAAAATTTAGTTAGAGCAAGTCACGGCTCTAACCGTTTTCTCTCTCTGGTCTTCAATTTCTATCTGACCTGCTGAAGGATAAAACTTGCCTTAAGAAGGAAGGTAATACAGCTCAACATTGTACTCCCACTCTCATCTCTTATATGAATCTTGTGCTTTACTGTGACTCTTCTCCGAAGATTGTCGGTACTTTTTGACTACGGAATAAACATTATCTTAATAATTATTTTTTTTCAAAAATTTGAACTTAAAAAAAGAAGTGTATGTATAGGCTATAGTTATAGTTATGTAAATGTCACAGTTGTTCTTATTATAAGAAGGTGCTGCAAGAGAGGGAGTTCTGAGCACTCAAGTCATTCATGTAATTCTTATAGTCAAGTAAAGAGTTAAGGCTGCTGCTTAGCAAACTTTTCTTATTTATATCTTAGAAGTTGAATTTAACTGTTCTTTAAATTAATTAAGTGGCATTTTAAAATTGTGTTCAATAGTGCTTTTTCAGCAGACCTATTTGTTTGATATGAAGATTGTTTATCAGTGATGTTCGCCTCAATTTTCTATGGAAATATGAAAGTAATTGCAATGAATTATTTACTGATGAAATTTGATTAGTAATTGGTTCATTATTGGAGGTTCAAGTGGAGACATTTTGGTGTTGAATATTAACACAATAGTTGTAATGACATTGTAGATGATGGAATAGCTAATCTCAGTAACTCCATGTGAAAACCAATCAGTTGTGCAAGGCTTTTCAGCATCCCTGACGGGACACTTTAGCAAAGCCATTCCAAACTGAATGATTTTAACATGGAAATGTCTATTTCCGAAGTCACATAATCATATCTAATCTGGTGACATTGTAATAAGAAGTTAGGGATAAAAATTTTCACTATATCAAGCTTTCTTTTGGTAAAGTGATGTTTTAAAGCAATTTTTCAGCCCAGTGAAATATTAATTCTTCTATTTGTATTTACATCAAATTTTAAAAATTAATTTATAAAAATAAATTGAGCTTTACGCAATTCGTTTTCTTCACTGTTTTTACTTTATTTTGTAAAGAATACATTTTAAACATAGACGACTCCTATACAACAGATTGCTGCTTCTTTCTGTTGCGTGTAGGACATTTCTGGACATTAATGCTGTGTTTTTTTTTAAACACAGTATTTATGTCTTCATATGATATCTAGATTTTGTTCCCTGTGGTCTTATAAATAATTTATGCTGCAGATGCTACATCACATTTTGCTACATAACCCTGTATTTTAAAAATCTGTAGATTTGGTGTTTTTTGTTGATGATGTTTTATGTCTAATTTTGAAATGATCTATTAAATTTATTTTTTATTAACATAATTCAAATGAGTTCTTACGTTCTTTGAAACAATCCAGACTGAGTATTCCACGCCAAACCACCCAAACAATCGTACTGACCCGACTGGTCTGGAGTTCATGCATATTCTTCTCCAATGTATGAAGGATTGTTATCCTCAGATTCAATTATTCTATTAGGATTGGTCCCCCTAAAAGAAATAAAATGATCCCACGTTGACTCATAAGAATGCCACACATATTTCTGGGTCCTGACGCTAATTACGGTCTTAAATAACAACTACAAAATGTGCCCCCAGAGAGAATCGAACTCTCGACCCCTAGTTTACGAGACTAGTGCTCTAACCACTGAGCTATGGAGGCGGCGTGGCGGAGAGCGGCGCTGTGCGCGTGCGGGTCGGCTCTGTAGGCCCCTCCATCCGGCGCCCCAGCGGCACGATGCGGCACGGCTCCCCTCCATTCTCGTCCCTTCCTTCCTCCCCTCCGCAACGCCCGACTCAGTACTGTACTCCCCCTCCCCTCCCACCCACTCCCAGCCATCCCATCCCAACGCTCATGAGACGGGCCTAACTCACTTGGTTGGTGCATCGTAGACGGGCGGCATGTCGCGAGGAGTGGGGGAACTGGTTAGGACGGTTAGGACTCACGCGAAATGGAGGGGAGGAAGAGGTGTTAACTAGTACGAATTTTTCACCAAGTTTAAGTTCAAGCAACGCCCACCGCAATGACAGCTCCGATGCTCCTGCCGATCGTAGTCTCTCTTCTCCTCAAGTCGTCTTTCAAACTTTCACAAATCCCAACAACCGATCACTCTCTGTGCCCCCCTTTCGAAGCGTATCGAGGATTTGCTTATAAGGCTCATCCATGTACAGCAACATTTGCGTACTTTACGTGTGGATTAAACCATAAACCGCCTCTGTAGCGCTTGTCGACTTAACTGGTGCATTCTCTACAATATCAAACTATAACAACTCCCGACTCTATTTCCTTCCTCGTAGTGGAAAATATGCGCGCAAACAAACTGTCTGCTACAAGTCGAGGGAGTGCCACCCAAGATAGTGCCACCACATCATAGTAGAGGTAGTGCAGGCAAACTCAATAATAAGCCCCAATACCACAATAGAAAGCTGTGACGTCATCCCGCCAGCTTCCCCGTGACCAAGGTCGGCTAAGCTTGTGACCCATGCGAGTGCCAATGTCGAGGGTCTGAGGGCTGATGCGCGTTGCTTTCATGTGGCCCGCTTCCGCTCAGCTGATATGACACTGCTGCCAACGTGCCGGCAACGGAGCATCGCTAATTCCGAACTTAGTACACCATATTATTCTAGTTTAACATAAATTGTTACATTCAGTTACGTATTTTAATCTTAATTTTCCATAACTGAGAAAATTTGCGACGAAATATGTGTTTCAAAGTTTTTGTAAGCTTCGGCGTGTTTGCAATGCTTCCCGGTCGTGTTTTGTTTTGTCGACTGCACGTTTTTGTTGTTGTTTCTAGAACATGTTTGTCGGTTCCTCATTGGCTCCGAAGGGAAGACTTTGTAAATGGCGTAAAATGTGCTAGCCCTTCAGTGTTTGTGCATTTTTTGCGATTTGAACTCTTCGACAGTGCGTTGGCACTTTGTGCACGTCATAAATTTTGGTTGTTGTGCCTATTCATCAAATTATTGCATCCTTCGAAAACCCCTGATTTATTATAACCCGGAACCGGCTCACTTCGTCTCGTTGGCATCAATCTGACGCAGTTCTTCGCATCTATCCCCAAAGTTAGCTTTCTTACGAAAATTCCGCTTCTGCCTGTTCATTACCACTCCGATTGCGTCAGCGCATTTGGGTCGTTCTTTGCTTTAGCCCCTGATGGAGGCGAGGAGGAAGAAATTTGAAGACTTGAATATCACACGGGATGAGATTAATAATATTGGCCAGGCTCTTCAGAAGGAAGAATTTCGTAAGCTTTTTGCTGAATATTGTGAAGAGGTGACCAATCCAGAGAATAAGAAGCTATACCAGAATGAAGTAACTGAACTAGAGAAGCAACGGGGTGTGGATGTTACGTTCATTAATCCTGAGCCAGGCTTTGTCGTCAAGACCAGCATTGATGGTGAACGAAAAGCATTCATCAACATTTGTCAAAATGATGTTGTATCAAAGCCCTCATCATCTGTTGCTTCTGAGGAAGGATCCCAGGGCCGAAGGTGGTCTTTGCCATTTTCACTTGCTCCCGCACGAGAAGATTATGACAAACAAAAGAATCATTGCACTGTGTTTGATGTGGTATTCCACCCAGAAACTCTCAAACTGGCGGAGAAAAACCTAGAGTTCCGTAAAATGCTCATTAATACAGCTTTTGATGCAGTTGAAGACAACTGCAAAGCCAAGCTGGATCGGACCAATATGAAGTATCCCAAAATGTTATACAAGGGTACCCCTCAGGCTGCTGTGATCAGGAAAAAAATTCCTAACCATCAGACTGCAAAAGGTGACCATGAATTCTTGGAACAAATGCCATATCCTACTGATAGAAACCCGTGGTCTAAAGTTGAAAAAGGAAAGAATGTACCTGAGAAGAAAATTGAGTCAGCTAAGTATGCCACACCTAAATACTGTATCAAATATAGGCATGGTGTTGAGTTATCAGACTACACCACTGATGCAACTGCAAGACTGAATGCCACTGTGCCCAAGGAATTGGTAATCTGTATTGATCTGCCTCTCTTGAATTCTGCTAAAGATTTGAATCTTGATGTCACTGCTAAATCACTATCTTTGGTTTGTCAAAAGCCTAAATATAAATTGGAGTTGGTTCTTCCTTATGGTGTTGATGAGAATGCAGGAAATGCAAATTTTGATGTTACAACCCGAAAGCTGACCATTGAGGTGCCTGTGAAACGAAGTCCACTATCTCTGCAAGATATTGGACGGGAAGACAGTGGAGTTGAGAGTGATCCAGGTGGCAGAGCTGATGAGGATTCTGATGAAAAGAGTCCAAGCTACCATAGTGACAATGGAAGTGATACAAGTGACCACCAAGATCTTCAGAATTCGTCTTCCTTAGTTGATGAGTCTACCAAAGTCAACGGCAATGCCTTCTCTGACCCAACTGAGTCTGTTGACAAGGATATTGATCACTTGCTGCCAAATTTCTCACTGAACACATATGAAAATATGGTGGCTGTTGTGCTTCATGTCAAGAATGTTGACAGCGGTTCACTTGTACAAGGCTTCCTGCAGGAAAGGCAGGGCATCCAGCTTTCTTTCTCATCTGTAGGTGCAGGGATGTTCCCACAGCATTATGGATTTTGTCTAGCTTTGCCTGATGCAGTCGGAGTGGAATCTGATTCATTGTCTGTTGAAATCTGGGACAACAATGTCGTAGCTCAGTTTGGTCTGACTTCTTCTAATGTCACTATCTCTGAAGTATATGTTGGTACTGGTCCTCATGATCTTCAGTTAAAGGATGCTGGTAATCTGGCTGTTGTGGAGCAGAAGCTAGCTGATCTACAGGTAAGTTATTATGACCAAACTTAATATTTTCTTCTTCAGGTTAAATTAAAACATACCACTAACTTCTTTTATTTTTTGAAACTGTTGCAGTTAAGCACTGATATTTCTGCTTCTCGTTCACCAATTGTCATAGTTCATGCAGCTGAAGAAAATGAGTTGGTACTGAATGTACAACCATTTTCATCTAATGTGAAGGATGTTGAAGAAATTTCTCCAGAAAATTCTACGAAGGCTGAGGAATCTGCATCTGGATGTGCACCTACAGAGGATTCCTCAAAGGGAAATGAAGTCAGAGCTGAAAAGGGACGTGTTCGCCATCTTTCAGAGTGCAGCAGTGATGATCTGGTATGCCACATTAACGTACCATTTATTAGAAATTTTTATAATTATAACTGTTTTCTATCAAATCAATTTGAAAATTTCTAATTATGCTCTTATTTTTGTAGGAGGGTAAAAAGATTCGAGGAATCTTGAAGAAGCGTCCTCTCCGCAGTCTCTCTGAATCCAATGCTGATGACTATGTTCACTACCAGTCCTCAAGTTTCAGTGATGAATCGGGCCCTAACTCAGCTATGGGTTCAGTTAATTGTATTGCAGAGGAAGGTAGTGAGACTGGGTGTGAAACTGAAAATGAAGGTGGTTATAGACGTCAAAGGAAGAAGAGTGTTCGCTTTAATGATGTGGTCGCACAGCAAACCTTCAGGTAACTTTTTTGAATTTATTTCAGCTTTGTGCCTTCTTATTTGTATCTAATGATCACGAAGTAATTATTTGTTTTAACTTACTGTGTTTCAGGCCTAACTCCAGTATTTTGGGTCAAAGAAAGAAAAATCAGCGTAAGCAGAAAAACAAGAAGAAAGCTCAAGAGAGAAGAGCCAGTGAGAGCGAAAATTCTGAACCAGATTCAGAACATGATAAAGCTCGTCGTCGTGCATGTCATTCTGAAGGAGAAATATCTGACTTGGAAGAGAAAAGCAAAGAAACAAACAAATTTAAGAAGGAGGAAAAAATTGAACCAAGCACCCATCAAGCAAGGAAAATTTTGCGTCGTACAAATAGTTCTGAATCAGATGAAGAAACCAAGGATGAAAGTTCCAATAAGACTGCTAAAGTTGCCAGCCCAGCTGGTGACACAGTGATGAAAGTTGAAACCTCTCAACCACAGGGTACTCATGTGGAAAGTTCAGAGGATGAGAGAGATGGAAAGACTGAAGAAAAGAAGAAAAAGAAGAAGAAGAGGAAAGGGAAGAAAGTCACAGAACAGGGGGATGGTTGTAAAATTGCATCAAAGGAGGTGACTGATTTCAGGAGTGGTTTGGTTCTCGAATTGGAAATGTAATCCGTGCTGAATTTTATGTTTTGTGACCCTGGTAGTTTCAGTAGTATTCTTAGTAGATCCACCTATTACAGGCATTTATAGTAATTGTAAACTTTAAGGTAGATCTTTGGATTTAAGTTGAAGAAACTCCCAGACCACCTAAACAATTCTCACATTTGGACTTCTAACTGTTGATCGCTGATTTGTCCAAATTTATTTTTACTTTTCCAAGGAGAGACCAGATTTTCATGGATATTTGTCCCTTACAATTTTACGCAGTTGTTACAATTTCTATTTGTATGCAGTGGCATACGTTCTTAAAAAATACTACTGTATTTTAAAGAGTTGGCTTGGCTTTAAAAAGCCATTTAATTAAATGCCAACAGCTGCCTTCTTGTTGTATACTGTTTATCTTTCAGAAGCTATCTATTGCGTTTTGCAAAGTATCTTTTGAAAGCTGAATCTGTGATTTCTTGTTGGCAAAGGGTAGAAGCTGTTTGGAAAGCACTTATTTAATTGATTTTGTGTGCTGTTCACTGCCAAACCTCTTGTAATTGTTATAGCTGTACTGTTAAAACTTATATGGTGATATAGAATGGTGATTTTTTTTGTTTATGTTTTTGTCAATTAACTATTCAGTTCCTTCAATATCTTTTGTAACTTTTTTGAATCAAACCAACTTTTTGCACTGATGTTAAATTATTGTGTATGAATTTTAAAATGCTACTATTGGAAATTGTATTGATTGTTTTATTGTATCAAGGTAGTTCGATTATATGGGGTAAATTTATTCCACAAATTCCATTAAATCTTGTAAAATTTTACTTTTGAAATACAAGTAGTGGTTAACAAGAGCAGGGACAGATTTTATTTCCTGAACGAATTTAAAATGAGATTTAACCAGTCTATTGAATCTTTAAATAGAGACAACGGATAAGACAAGAGATCACAAACCAGCAATAATTAATGGTGTAGAAGTTATCATAATCAACCTTAACAAAGTTATCAAGTATATAAATTAATTCAATCTAAACCCTCCTTCTTCTCCTTGATGGCATCCTGCAGATTAAAAAAGGTACATTTTATTTCAAAAACAATTGATGTATGTTCAAAGTTGACATCATTTAAACAATATTTGAACCATACCTTAAATCTTTCTTCAAACAGGGAAAGCTCAGCTAACAAATCGGTAATGGCATGGGTCAGGGCGTCCTGAGGGGTGTAGTCAGGAGTCGTTTGAATGCGTAGAACAAATTTATGTTCTAAAGGGTGAGGCTGTTTGTATCCAGCGAAAAGGACATTCGGATCCTTCAGCAGCTGACTGCAATAAAACATATCGAAGGTGAATTTTAAAAATAGGTAAGGGAATCATCGGGGATTGGTTGAAAAGAAACTGATACTCACTGCCTGATCATGTTACCCAGAGTATGATCCTCTTTGTTTACTGTAAAAATAGCGGCGTTCGGAACTTTCTGGTCTAGTTCTTTGATGATCCTGAAAACGTTAGAAGGTGTCAGAATATAAGGCAATACATCAAAACAATAGCAGAAAAACAGGTTAGGTTTTCCACACACTGAGTGCGCAATGTTATGATCGATGGGATTCGGCTTACTTCTTTTCACCCTCGAACAAGAGAAACGACTCGAATGTCGGTGGTGCGTTCATTTTGAACGGCTGCTAAATCAGCAACAACTTGTCCGAGGCAAAATGGGCAAAACAAATCGTCGGTCGTCGTCTTCTTCGGCGAACGGCGGCCAAGTGTCAGTTGAATGCGTCGGCGCCCAGAGGGCAGCACCCGTCGTCGGGCTGACAGCTCTGAAGGACGGCCGCTGGCCGAGAGCGCCCGTCTCTGCAGCGGGTAGGCCACCCATCGTACGACACTGCACATTGGAGTGCATATCCCTCTGCGCGCGGGCGCCTGCCGTCGGGCTCGGGCTCGGGTCGCTGCCCCCCCCCCCACTCCTCCGCTGTTGCAGATGCGCCCGCCGCCGCCACCGCCGCGTGCCACCAGGGGTGCCCCTCGGGTGCCTCCCATTATGTATCGGTTTGATTGGGTCTGGCCCGGGCGATGGCCGCTGGACGCAGGTGGGCTGGACCCGCCGCTGCTGGTCCAGCTGGTCCACCACGGGTCCACACACTGGACACCTGCCGCCTCACCCTTCTGTTCGGTCCACCCGGCGGCAGGTAACGAGCGCCTGGCCGGGGCCGGCACCTGTCGCCGTCATTCGGTCGCCAGTCATTTGGTCATTTTCCTCCTTCGCGTCTGAATCGGCCTTTGAATGAATTATTGTGTTCGCTTGTGGGCCGCGAGATGACCACACAGCCGGGGACTCGCTGCGATACGACTTTATTTTCAAGTTGAGTCCACGTTGTCGACATAAATAAAGCATTCCGGGAAAGCTGAAATGCAGAAGAATGCAGGAAACAAGAAAACGGGAGTCCCATGTAAAAGCATAGTGATTTCCGTTTTCTTCTTCCTCGCATTCTTCTGCATTTTAGCTTTACCAGACTGCTTTATTGACTGGCATACGCCCCTGTGTGGCAAGGCCTGAATTTTTTGAGAGTTTTTTTTTTTAATGGCATCTTTGGCACATTTTCGTGCTTCTGCTAGTAGTTGACGAACGATGAACGTGACTGCGTTGCTGCGTTGCTGCGTTGCATGCGTCGCAGGTGGTCAACCTGTCGCTCCACTCACCAGTCAGTTGTCAGTTGTAGTTTGCGCCACGCAAGAGAGCAAGAGAGAGGACAAAGCGACTCAGCCATATTCTTCTACGGAACGCACGGAACAAGGTGGTTACGGAAGCTTGGCCACAACACTCCAGGCTACCCCCTACGCATCCTGCCCTTCTGAAACGTCCGGAGCACCATTTAAAGAATCTCTTCTTCTGATCCCGTAGCCATTCGATCGCCCGTCGGTGACTGACGAGTGAGGTTATGTGGGTTGTGACACCAACACTACGGGACTGAACCAGCATCGGTAGCGCCGCCACAAAGGAGGTGAGCCCCTCTTCTCTTTTTTGTTCCGCTCGCCGTTAATTAATAAATGAAAAGTGGATTCTCATCCTCGAGTCGTGTGTGACTGTCAGTGCGGCAACGGCGCGGTGGCAGATGGGAGGCGCGCGGCCACCCCTTTCTTCTATCGCCACTAATTTATCAAGGATATACTATATTGCATTCTGTATCGACGTCCCTCTTCACGAGAAAGGGGGGGGGGGGCGAGCTAGAACGCGTTTAAACCAGCTGACTGACTGGAGACCATCTTCTGGCTTCTGGCGATGTGTGCCCGCGCGTGCAGCCAGTGCAGCTCAGGATGAAGTCGTTCCGTCTCGTTCGTTGGTTGAAATGTTCTGTAAAAACACCCTGTACTATAGTTGGCCCTCGACAGTATAGATGGCATAGTACAACGTGTCCGCGTGTTGTGGAGGTGACTTCCTGCCGACGCCCCCCCCCCCCAAATCTCCCTGTCCGCGTGCGTCCGCTGATCGGCACGTCGGCTGCATCCGCCGGGCGACACTGCGGGCGGGAGTGGTGCCCTGCGGCTGGGGGGCTCGGCTCGGGGCCCTGCCGGCCCTGCGGCCGCAGGACCTAGTGCCAAGTATCGCCCCTCGCCTCGGCCACGTGGGACGTGTCCTTGCCTCGGGCCCACCACATCCTGCGCGCGCGCCGCCCGCCGTCCTCCTTCCTCGGACCCGCATCGAGCCCCCGCCTCACCCCCTCTCCCTGACCGAAGAAGCGAATCGCGAGTTACACTGGAATATGCTTACATTTTTGCGTCATGGAAGCTGTTTGTTACCTAGGTACTCTTTGCGTTGGAGGTCGTCTTCTCTTTGCCAACTCTTCCCCTGCTGCAGCAGACGGCCTCTCCGCCACCCCGCCGCCGCCCTCACCAGCCGGTCGGAAGTAGGTGTCGCCCGAGACTTGTTTCTTTGTTCATTAGGCGAGGTCCCCCCCTTCTTGCTTGCGGCTCCCTGTGCCACACATGCGCACACGTGGCTGGACGGGAAGTGCCCCCTCCCCTCCCTCCCCACTTCCCCCGTTACTGCCCCTTTTCTCCAGCACGTGTGCTGTATGTCATGTTGGCACGACTGCCAAAGCACGCGGCCCGTACTACCGGGATCATTATGAGGATGGCATGGTCTCCAGTAGGGGGGGGGGGACTAGAGCCCCTCGACCAGGAACCAGATACTCAACGGGGTAGCTCAACTTAGCCTTTTGTTTCATCCGACGGCGGTCCATGGGCGCGAATCCCTAGTCAAGTGACTCAAGTGGTCACTGCTGGTCGCCGCCTTGTTGGTCATAGTGCCTACATATCAGGCGGCTTCGTAAGAGCTGGCTTTAGGGGGCGACTCGGGCCGACCGGGAGGTGGAAGGGGAGAGGGCGCCTTTGTGACGAAAATCACACGATAACTGGCGGCATTTCTGTGCCTTTTTGCGAATATCTACTGCCTGTTAAAATAACGACAAAAATGAGGTACCTACCCCTTTTGGTCCGTACCTGGTCGCTGACTCACGCCGCGCACTTTCATAGCTATACTGTACCGCTTGCACGAGTGCGGCGAGCGGGTCTGATGTGTACAGTATGCCTAATCCTCGCTGCCCACGGCTCCTTATGGCCCCGTGTGGGTAGGCAAAACGCCAGCATGTGTGTATGCGGCACAGTATAACCACAAAAGTGCGCGGCGTGAGTCAGCCACCTGGTACTGGTACAGGTACACCTAACAACAACCATCTCAGCAGGTTGCGACTCTCTGACGGAGGGTCCGCGAATGCGGCTCGTTGCCTTCACTAGGCAGCCTGGACTGGTCTGTATTTATATGAGTGTGGTTTGCTCGGGTTGGGTTGGCATCCCTGGTGGTCTCGAAAATCTCACTTCTCCTCGACCGATATAATTGATCATTGTGTCAGTCGGCCGCGTGCCGGCGAAATGAGCCGCGCGTTTGTCGTGCGCGCGGAGTTTTCGCTCCACACACACGCTCTCTCTCTCTCTCTCTCTCTCTCTCTCTCTCTCTCTCTCTCTCTCTCTCTCGTGGATTTTTGAATGGCCGGGCGGAGTACTATGTAATAATATCGCCGCTCAGGCCTCATTCGATGCGGGTGGAGCGAGGTGGAGCAACACCGCGCAAGATTGATAATGTCCAGCGGGGCAGCGTTCTCCCCTTCCGCGGCCGGTCCCGACCCGGCTGTCGGAGCATTGGAAAGGGGAAGGGGAGGGCGGACACGCCGAATAGAAACAGTACGACAATCGCAGCCACGGCATAACCAGACGAGCACGGGTGGCTCAAGCGGGTGGCGTGGTGGCGGGGGCGCAGAGGCCGCAGGTCGCCAGCTGTCGGCCGCCGCCACTGCCTCGGCGCGCCGCCCTGGGCCGGCTGCGTGGAATGCCGTATCCAACAGATGCCGTCCGCACCAATTCGGATCGAAGGGTGTGTAATAGCGTTCGAACCCACTTAGGCGCTTTGGCGCGGCCATCCCTCTCGCTCTTTCGTCCCTCGTTCTGGTTATGGTGGGGAGGCAGGAGGCAGGTTCGGCAAAATGGCAAGGATAAAGAAATTCCAGAAGAAAAAAATATGCGAGCGAAGGGAGGAGGAGAAAGATTAAACACGATAAAGGGCGATTAACAATAAGGGCAGTGCCGTGCGGCAGCTGCCACGAGTCCGACCGGGATACGATAGTGGCGACCGCAGGGTATCCTCAAAGGGAAAAAAAGGGGGGGGGGAGAGCTCAAGGTATCACTGTAAAGTTGCGGTGAGACACCCTGACTCATCGTAGTAAGTTTAAGCGAAGTTATCGCAACGAAAGTTGGCGTCGGTTGGCGAATAAGGCAAATATGTCAATACTTTTCTTTCTTATTTTTTTCCAGGTGGCTGTAATTATATCACAAACCTTGAATGAAGCAAGAACCACAAGAATTCTTACCAACCACCACCCACTTGAAAATGCGCCCTAAAACTAGGCAATTTGAGTGCAGTTTTTGCCTAAAGATATTTTCTCGAAAATCTCATTTGCAGATTCATTTTCGGATCCACTCTGGAGAAAGGCCATTCGAATGTAACGTTTGCCCGATGAAATTTTCTTTAAAACATAATATGCAGACACATTTGCGAACCCATACTGGAGAAAAGCCATTTGAATGCACCGTGTGCTTTAAGAATTTTTCTC